TAATAATGATATTAAAGTGTATTGTTATTTTCCAACAATTGTATCTTTGGTCCAAAATTAAAGTTTGGATTTATCTTGAGCAGTGGCTACATTATTTAGTTTCTTAAGTGTAGTGGTAGGCTTGTTCCCCTGGCGTGTTTGAAAGCAAATTGTGTTTTTACTGCCCCCCTGCTCAGTACTAAGAGAGCTGTAGTCAGCTTTCTGTTAGAACAGAAATCAAACTGGTCATTTTTGTAGTCACTTATCTTTGCACAGTACCCAATAGCTCTTTGACAGAAGTAGTAAAAAACTACCTGGTTTTCTGTGTTCTCCAGAATATTCTCAGACAGTTCCTTTGGGGTCTGTCCTTGGAGTAGATCCCAGAGGTGTTCCCATGCTGTACACCCTCCTGAAGATGCACTGAGAGAATCCTTTGCTTCTTGCCAACAAAAAGAGCTTAAGAACAACCAAGCTGAAGGTGCATTGCTGTCGTCAGCTATGCGTTTTATGGGGAAAAACAAGGGATATGGGTCATAACTGCAGAGCACAGAGTTGCACTAAGACTTTGAACAACCTCTGACCGTCGTCCCTGACTTGCAGCACAGACCAGCTCCCTGCAGCGCTGCTGCCCCTGGGATGTTTTGCCGCTCGCACTGGGGCTGAGCCAGGCACAAGGGTGAGACCCACCAAAACAGCACGTACAGGTGAGCAGCTCCTACCCTGTGCAGTGCCCTGTCCCCTGCTCAGGCTGCCAAACCCGTTTGCCATATGCATTTATGGAATACTCCCCACCTGCACACCCACAGCACCCTTCACCCCAAGGCGAATGCGCTGGAGGATGGAGTTTAACTGGCCGGATGGTGCGGGGCTCGTAGGGGAAAGCCTCTGGCCTGTGTTACGATGGAGGCTGCACAAAATAGTCCTGCTGGTCCCTTCTGAACTGAACCCTCCCTCGTTGCTAGGAGCGGGGACGAGCGCTTTGCCTCGGCAGATGGGCTGGATGCCAGAGTGGGAGGGCTGGAACGCTCACCCGCCGTACACCCGGCTCCTTTCAGTGGCACGCACACGGGCAGCCGGCACCTCCCTCGTCTGCTGCTGCCCTTCCTGCCTTTCCATGGTCCCGGGGAGTCTTTCACTCCCTCCTGCAGCATCTCAGTGCCAGGTGAGCCCTGGGCACACACGACTGCGTCCCAGCTTATGCCCTCGCCTCCTGGGACGTGCAAGCAGGGGCTACAACCTCTCCCTCTCAGCAGGCTGTTCGCCCACAGCTCAACAGACAGCTTTTCACCGGGCTGAAGGGACGTTTCTGGGGTTGGTTTTCATTGCTAGGACAAAAGCAATCGTAGCTGGCTGAGGGTGGCAGGGAGGTTTACACCGTGCCTTGGGGACGGGACCTGTTAAACTCAGCCTAACTGGGCAGGAGATGGGTGTCCAGCTGCTCTGAGCAGGGGGCTTTGAGCCTTCCTCGGTACTGGTCATGAGGACTGAGGGAGCTTCAAAGGCTGCTAGATTTTAAATACCTCCAGGGTTAATTGCACTGGAAAGTGTGCTTTCTGAATCACTCCTCAAGGCTTACCTGCCTTTGTTTTGCCGAAATCCCACTGAAATCTGCAAACGTTCAGGACCTTGCTCAGCTGTTTGCAAGCAGAGGAGAAAGTGACCGCAAAATCAGGTGTTTCTTTGACAGTGTCCTCTTGTCCTCCTGTTCCCTGGAGCCCACCAGCAGCAAAGAGGGGATGCAGCTCAGCTCCCACGAGACCCCCGGGCCATGGAGAACCACCTCTTCTACCCGCTGGCACGAAGCTCTCCCTCTCCACCACTGCTTCACCTCCAGAGCTGCTCTCAGACCCAGGCTGGGCTGTAAGATCACTTTCTGTTAAAAAGAAATAAAGTGAAGGAAGGTGAACTATGAAATGGGTGTAGGTGCTTCTGATAAGACTCAAGTGCCCTGTCCAATTCGGACACGCGCTGCAGGACAGCGCTTCTTAGCACGCCATAAGGCAGGGAGCTTTTTGTCTCCCTTTGAAGGCCCAGTGCTGCAGGGGACGCTGATCAAAGCTAAAGCAATTCTCTCCTTCGGTGCACTCCCATTCTTTACTGTTTTGCAAAATGCCTGTGGCTGAGCAGTTAATGGAGGCATCTGCTGCACTGGCAGAGTTCACTGACTTAATTAAAGACATCTAACAATTATGCAGCTGCATGGTAGAGACCATGGGTACTCACAGGGCTGAAACCGAATATCCTCAGCACTGAAAGCAAGTGTCCCCGCTGTGCAGAAAGCGTAGATCTGCAGCCAGACACTCACATGAAAGTAGAAACGGGACCCAAAGATTAAGGATGGACTAGAGCCAGCTTGCAGTGTGTGTCGCCAAGGCCTTGCCATGCTGGAGAACCATACAACCTCAGCTCACGCTCACACAGCTTAGAACGGTCAGACTTGCAACAGGTGGGCAGAGCCGGGGACATTCCTTGCCGGTAGGGATGGTTTTACCTGAAAAACATTTTTAACAGATATTTTCTCACTGAGTGAAAGTAGTTAGCTGGTTTAAAAAGACAGGTGGGAAAACTAATCCTGTACCAAGTGGTTAACAAGTTCCCCTCTGCGTGGGGCCGTGTTCTCTCCCTGTTAAATGAAGAAACATTTCACTCATGGGCATATTTCTGGTAGCACTGCATATTTGAGCTCATCGGGGACTTTGTAAGGCTGTTATTTTAACAACTTACCAAAGAGGCTCACAGAACAGGCTGGTGCTTTCTGATTAGATTGCACGTCAGCAGACACCAAAGGCTCCAAATTGGGCTGCCGAGCCCGGGCTGCTGCCCTGGTGGGGCCAGGGTCCACTCCCACGCACTGCTGCCGGCGGTGGGGAGCCTCGCGCCTGCCCTCTCAGAGCTGCGAATGCCAGCGCCGGCAATGTCACTGATGGCTGGCTGGGACGTAAAGCAGGCAGATCGATGCTGTGCTGCTTTGGTCGATAGGAATTTACACATGAACTTCTGTCAGGAGAGACATTACTAGTGTGGACAGCCTCTGTTCTCAGTAATTTCCGTGAGGGGAGAGGAGAAGGGGAACGGGCACATTAAATGCACCAGCACAAAAGTGCTGCAGGTGAGGAGAGGCATTTTGGCCACAGGGTAGGAGCTGGTGGGTCTCGATATTCTGAGACCAGCATGTCCTACAGAGGAAGGGCATACCTTCTCCTCCACAGCCCGTGCCTGCTGCAAGGGGAATTGCTCTTTCCCAATTCGTCTCCAGGATGGGTGAACACCAGGGCACGAGGCACAGGAGAGGGGATGTTAGCCCAGGCAGCGCATCGTGTCCAGAGCTGTCCTGTGGATGACATGACAGCCGCCAGCACCATCAGTGCTGTTGTGTAACATGTCACGCGGAGTCTGCTCGCGTGGAAGCAGCGCTTCACCTTTGAGCAAACGCTGGATTGCTCTCATCTGCGGCACACAAGTGGTTCGGGGGAAACCAGCAGTTTGCTGGGCCTCGAGTTAGGTCTTTCTCTGGTCCTGGAGAAAAATCCTCCCTGGAGGCAGGCACTTGTGACTTATGAAAGGTTTCTTGCCCTCAGTTTTGCATGTTTACCCACTGAAGGACAGGGGTAGATAAAGGGCAAAATAAGGTATATTTAGGAAAAAAAAGCATGCAGCTTTTTCCAACACAAACCCCTCCACAAATAGGAAAATGATCTAATTCTATGGTGAAGAGAAGCGATGGACGTATGTATAAAGAAAGAACAATCACATTTTCCTTTGTCTGCTTTTCCATATGATAACATATAATCTGTCATTAGATAATCCAAGCACTTTTATTAAAATAAAAAGCAAAAGTTAGACATCCAATGATAATCTTCCTGAGAAGGGAACCCAGACCAACCTCTTTCCCACACTGGACTGGAAGATACATTCACTAGACATGAGAAGTGGGAGACTTTGTCCCAAAGCATCAAGCCTGGAGCAAGTTTGGCTCACTCTGTCTCTTCTTTCTGCTAGAGATCTGCCGCCTCCCTGTGTGCTTGCAGCAATGTTCATGCCTGCACAGCTGTTGAGCCGTCTACTTCTCAGTTTGTCCTCTGCCCATGTGAAAACCTGGTAAGTGCCGGGCCAGGCTTCAATCTGGTCAATTAGAGCATGCTGAGCCCCAAGACCTGGTAGCTATAGGCAGGCAAGATAGGGGGAGTGATGGCAACACATATCTACACTTAAGAGATGCCAGAAGATGTTTCTGCTTGGAGAAAGCCGGGTGGGGATCGTGATAACAGAAGATGGAGTCTGGATGCAGAAGGCGAGTCGTGAGCCAACACCACAGGGCAGGTTAGGCAGGTCAATGCGTTTGCAGCTTTTCTGTCATTTATTAGAATCTCCTCTGCAGCAGGGAGGATGGACGGTACCAGCCCTGCCCCTTGCTCTCTGCTCAAACCTGCTCTCTCCAATTCATTTGACTTCACCTCTGAAAGGCGCTGCACCCCTTGAGGCAGCGGGAAAAGAGCAGGCTCCAGCTGGCTGTCTTTGCGAGAGTCAGGGAATCCAGTTGAGGTGGGCTGCACAGGAAAGACCTGAACAAACTGGGAAATAGACTTAAGGCAGGATCTGGTAGATCCAGTCAGTCTCAGGTGATTTGTGACCATCTCTCTCTTGCCTCCTACCCTGATTTGCTTTGTGGGCGGTGGATACTGCTCCCTGCCTTCCACAAAGACAGACTGGAAGAGAGGTACAGCTGTGAAGACCTGAAGGCACAGCAAAATGAGATGGGCCTTTAGGCAGCAATGTGCAAAGAAGGTGGGTGAGGCTGGTGCTGAGAAGAAAGGGTGGGTGATGGCAGTGGTCACCTGCAGCAAGAGGGGGATTGAGATCAATCACCGGCCAAAATTATTCCCTGCAAAGGCCCAGGAAGGTCAGCGACATTGTTTATGAGCCTGTAGCACTTTGGTTTTGATTGGAAAAGACAGTGCAATTACAGCACCTGTTTCGTAAGATCAGCCTCCGCTGAATTTATATAGCAGGCATCAATGAAATCACAGCTTGTTGCTCTGCCGGCCGACGTAGGACATCCACTCTTTGAGGGGAGGGTTCCCCATAGCTACCAGCTTTTTCAGGAAGGCACTGGGCTGTAGCCTGGGAACATCAGGGTGCGCCTCAGAGTATTTCTGCAGTTTAGCCAGAATGCGAGGGAGCCCGACAGTGGAAGCATAGAACATGGGGCCGCCCCTGTGCTTTGGCCACCCATAGCCATTGAGATAAATTACATCCAGGTGTTCTGGGCCTGATGCTATTCCCTCAGCCAGGATGTCAAACCCTTCATTGATGAGGGAAAACAAACACCGCTCCAGGATTTCCTCCTGGTCTATAAAGCGGGTCTCGATGTGATGGGTGTCTCTGTACTGGGCCAGGAAGTTGTGAAGCCATGGATCTGGCTTGGCTGCCCTGCCCCCAGCCTTCTCGTACTGATACCAGCCTTTTCCACTTTTCTGGCCGAACCTGCCATTCTCACACAGAAGATCTGGCAGCGGGCTGTAGCGATGGCCGTGCCGCTGGCGGGCAGGTGTTCCAGGAGGTAGTAAGGCCCCAGTGAGGCCCTGACCCTTTCGAGACCTCCAGCCCACATCCAGCCCAGCAAGATCAGACATTCGGAAAGGTCCTATCTTAAACCCAAAATCTTCAAGAGCCTGATCTACGGCTTCTGGTCTGCTTCCTTCCTCTAAAAGAAAAACTGCCTGTTGAACATACGGGAACATCATTCGGTTCCCAACAAACCCAAAACAATTCCCTACCACCACTCCAACTTTTTTCAGTGCTTTGGCTAGCTGCATAGCAGTGGCAATGGTGGTGGGGGATGTGTGATGGCCATAGATTATTTCTAATAGCCTCATCACATGAGCAGGGGAGAAGAAGTGCGTGCCAATGACCTGCTGTGGGCGGCTCGTGGCAGAAGCTATTTCATCAATGTTCAGGGCTGATGTGTTTGTACACAGAAAGGCCCCTGGCTTGCAGATTCTGGATAGTTTGTGGAATATTTCCTTCTTGAGTGCCATGTTCTCAAACACCGCCTCAATAACTAGATCTACATCCCGCAACACATCAAAGTCCACAGTGAACTGGAGATGTGCAGGGTTATGGAAATCCAGGGTTTGGGCTCCCTGCTCCATTTTCATAGCCTCGCGTTCCAAAAGGAGCATGACAGCTTTTCTTCCCTTGTTCAGGTACTCCAGATTCTGCTCAAGAGCGACCACAGGTATGTTGGCCTTAACCAGAGATGTCACAATGCCTCGGCCCATTGTTCCCAGCCCTAGGGATAAAAGTGAGACAGAATCAGAGACTATGAACAGAAAATGTTACAATTAATCACTTGACAGTAGCAATACCTTTGTATCCCCAGGATAAAAAGCGGAAGCCTATGCAAAATGAGTGGAGCACAGATAGAAAAAAAGAACTGAAGACTGGGGAAAAGGCAGGAGAATTCTCCCTTTCAGTGAGCCTAAATGTTTGAAAAGCAGTAGCATAAAGGCAAGTTAATGTCCTCTCAAGCTTACAAAATACCAGTGGGATTCACTCCGGTGTGTGCAGACCATGTGACTCATGCCTTCTCCCTGCAAAGCTTTATACCTATGGAAACCAGCATCCCTTAAGAGTTAGAACCTGGGGACCAAAGACAGGAGATCTGAGTTTCAGCATCAACCCTGTTAACAACTCATAGCAGGCAGTTTCATAAGCAAGCTTCACCCTGAGGAGATCACTGCCTCTCTGTTCCTGTGAGATGGTCCTTTATGGGCACTTACAGAAGAATATTAGTGTAAGCAAGCACAGCACACCCAGAGATTTTAAGACCAGCAAAGCCCAGACAATTGGATTCTCCCTCCTTCCAAGCTTCCTCCTCGTCCCCTTCCTCTTCTTCCTCTGCACTTCACAGGATAATATTTGAAGCAAACAAAATTCAGCTGATCTTGGACACTGATCTTCTCTAAACTTTGTCTCTAATGTCGTGTATGTCTCCTGTCACCAGGTCAAACAGCATGGAACTAACACAGTGTTCTTAATCCAGATTTCAACATCTTCTATCTCCTTTTTAATCACTCTGGAACATCAGTAGCCTTTTGCTTGCTGTTCATGCTTTCTATCAGGCAATCTCTGCCCACTGGGAACTCTCCAAGTCCTCCAACACAGGCCATTCCTAACTTCTGAAGATTCTCGAAGACACCGTCTTCCTTGTCCAACCACACAGTTAAAGCACTTGTCCGGAATTCCTGTAACTGAGCATCCATTCAAGCTGTATTTTTTTGTTTCTCCAAGATCCACAAATGCGCTACAACCAGCTCATACCCCAGGAATACCAGTGTAGAGATTACTGGCTTGATCCCTTCCCTCCTTCTGAGCCCTTCCACCAGCTCTGCCCTCTATTACATTAAATGAAGCTGCACGCTTACACTTTCCTGTGATACACAACCCACATTATTTATCCTGCTCTCCCACGAGGGAAGCTTTTCAGACTAAGTTAATACAAACTAGTAAGAGAAAGCCAGCACAATTTTACCAGCTTTAGAAGTGCGAAGCATCTGAATGGGAGGATTATTAATATCCTAAATAAAGCAACAACCAGACAAAGTACAGGTTTGTTACAATTCTGTAAAAATGTTTTTTTTTTAATCCCAGGTTTACAAATGAAAGTCAGCTAAACAAATAAACAGAAACAAGGGGATTAAAAATTTGTCTAAATCAGCTTTGTAAAGAAGAGCTGAAATTATGTCATCAGTTAAACAAGTTCCAACAACGAAGGTCAAACAAGGTAGTATGTTTTTCCGGCAAGCTACACACTCTTGGTTTAGTTCTGTGCACCCTCAGCTTGTATATACACAAGACATTTAAAACATTCCCTGCTTAGCCACAAGAAGACAGTTTTTACAGACGTCACTATCTGGCAGTCTGCTTATAAACCATTACACTCCCAAGAAAATGCTTGAGTTCCTTCCTAGGAAATTAGATTTGCTACTTCATAATCAAGTACTACTAAAACCTAATTTGAAAATACAACTAGAATAACACGAATCAGTTCTTAGCATTTCAGTGTCCATGGTTTGCTGACTGAAAAAACCCCAAACATAAACAGCTCCTCCCACTGTGCTCAGAGCTTGGATGTGGCAGCAGGGACAGTCAGAGACATTTTTTTCCCTGTCTTTGGTGAGCTACACGGACTGCTTTCTTCTCAGACAGTGTGGGACCACTTCATGCATACCCACCAAGCCCAGCCTCATCTTTAAGGCTCTTTAGACATCGAGGGTTTGCAGTTCCACATCTGGGTTCTTCATGGCTACCTCTTGAAGTCTTTTCTTCCTTTCCAGGGTGGAGACCTAGGATTTCTCCCTAGAATTTCCAAGCTCTGCTGAAGAAATAACGCACACATCCTGGGCCTTATTAACTCCTGTTCTTCTCAGCTTCAGTCTCATGACTGAAATCTTAGCAGTTCTCTCACAATATGAACACGCTGCTTCTTCCTAAATCAAAACCTCTTCCATGAGCAGAGCTTCTCCAGCCTTCTTTTCAAGGGAAGCTCTGCAGGGGTGTTTGCTGATTCCTGTTTGCTTTCGTCCACACGTAGTATCAGAACTCCCATCTACGTTTTAGCCATGCCATGACAGACAGGCATACATGCTTGTAGTACTTCCCTTTCTAGGCCATGGGAATAGGCTTATAGATAAGATATGAGCTTGCCAAGCTTGTTTCTGACCTACAAAAGCTGTCTCTCAACTTACTACATAACTCTTCAGTGGCCTGTGTGAAACGATGTTTAATGAAGCTGGCAGAGAGAGTAATGAAAGCCCCAAGGGTTTTGTTACATTAGCGCTTGCGCAGCATGACTCCCCTGGAAATATTTTCTAAAACTGGGCTATAAAACTACAGAGAGATTTGGCTATCTAGATGGAAAAGAAGCATTTCTGAGGACACCCCTTTTCAATTTTATAAAGTTGAGTGATCTTGGGGAAGGATATATTAGAGCAGAAAAAAATGGTAGGGAATCATTGGGCGTTACATGTGTAGAAGTCTGTAGAAGAAAGAGAAAGAGAAATGTCGCATGCTCAGCTCAGATCCCACAGACCAAAACATGGCTAGGAACTACTCCAGAATTTCTACTGTATGTACTGTTTTCTTCCTCAATAGTGCTCTCACTTCCCCCGAACCACGAAAAAAACCCTATATTCTTATCTTCCCCACAGGGGACAGTTTTCAGAGCTGTGTTACCATCTTTCATGCCCGAGGGACATCTTTCAAAAGAAGACTGAAATCTGCCTCAGGAAAAAGACCACTGTCTAGCCATCTTGCTTCTGGCCCTTTGTTGTGAAATGTAGCTTTGACATATAAATAAAACTACACTTGAACCCATGTAATTTCAGGCCAAATATGGATATGACAAATCCATTTGCTGGGCAAGCTGAGTGAATAATGACTGTTAATTATGGATCTGCCACATGAGGTGCTTAGAATATGAAAAATCATGCAAAATTAATTGAAGGACTTTAAAAACAAATTTCAAAGCAAATGAACTCAAAATATGTACAAAGCCACTCATGTACAGTCACACACACAAGAGAAATACCGATCAGTGGAAAATATTCTGAAGTATAATGAATATTTGAACTTTAAAACACCAGGCAATGGAAATAATACTTTAGTAAAAATATGCAAAGACTGTTCCAGTTTTCCTGTTAAAGACAATAATGAGCAACTGGCAGTGGCAGACTGCTGCAGACTGGAGCTGCTTCCTTCTCTGTTTCAGGGTAATAATTTCAAGCAGAAATAATGTGATACTCAAGGCAAGCAGCGAGCTATGGGAAGACTGCAGAAGGGACAGAGAAGAACACTTTTTCTGGGTGATGAGGAACCAGAGAAAGTGGAAAGAGATGGGAGCCAAGAGTTCAGAACAAGCAGAAGCAAATGAAATAGGTGACATTGCACGCGGCTGAAGACAGCCAAGGACAGCTCGGCCAAGAGCAGGAGGGATCTCACATCGATGGGTGTTACCGGCTTACCAGTCTTTCAGCGAGCAAACTGCGAAGGCAGCTGATGGGAAACCAGCACCACACAGGAATGATTGCCAGTTCACCAGCAATGCTACCTATCAAGCATACCCACAAAAATGATAGGTCATCCTTGATGTTGAATCTACATTAAGACATGGTCAGCAAGCGATGCGCCAGCTCCCTCCAACAAGTTCCTGCTAGTATTGGACAGACAAGGGAGCCCCAAAGCAAGGCTCCACTAGCATTCATGGCACTGCTTCCATACCCTAAAGGTCCTCTGTGCCTACGGAAAAGGTACTGAAGGAGGAGGAAGTCAGCCTGATCTCAGTTGCTTCCCATTGTGCAGTGATAAAAGACGGAAGGAGCAACACAATGCAACATGGTTTTAGCGTGTGAAACAGCACGGCACTGTCTACTGGAAAATGGGGTCTGCATGACTTCTGACCATCCAAAATGGATGCAACATTTCGCTCTGACTGCCCTCCTCTCTGTAGTGAAAATAGAGAGAGCTTGAATCGCCTAGGTAGACTCAATACTTACATAGATGAGCAGCACTATTTTAAAAGGTGTCTGTCCCTCAAAAATCATCCCTTGGATTTTGATTTCTGGTGCTGCAAGAATGTACTTAAGATCAAGAATGTGAAATTACCAGATACTGTACAGTATAGTACTGGATGGAGAATGACTTTTTGTTACAGCAGCCTGAAAGAAAAAATACAACTGTGTTGGCGTGATCTATGCCTGTCTCTAACAGACTTGCAATTTCACTGATATCAAAAGGCAAAATAGGAGGAAAACCTTCCAGAGGAAGAAGAAAAAGCACTGTGGGGTGGCAGAAAGATGTGATGGAAAGCAGTGGCACTTAATATGGTGTGGGATTCAGCGTTAAAAGGAGGTGATCAATAACCTCCAAAATAGAAGATGTCACTCATCAAATGAAATATAACATGAACAACTAGCATAAACAAAGCGCGCTAGAATTGTGGGCTACAGGGGCTGTATTGTTAGAGCAGTGGTTCAGAAAAGGCATTAGGAGTCTTGGTAAGCATTAAGGCCCTGTGAGCACTGATAAGCTTTAATGACCCTGATCAGCTACACCTGGAGCCTCCACCCACACCCACTGCTCATGGGCCTCAGAGCCTCATTTAAGCTCAGACCTGGGCCTTTAGCCCCTTCCTAAGCTAAGCTGGAGGAGTTGCAGTGTTTTACTGTGGCTCTGCCAGGCTATGAACACTGTTGATCTAGACCACTGCAGACTGGCTTCCTAACTTTGCCTCGGACCTGCAGCATCATGTGAACTTTGCTGGATCATCTGTACTTCCATTAGATGCTGGCTGTGATCTCTGGAGTGGTACCCGGCTGATGCAGTGATGGCAGGGCTGCCATCGAGGGTGACCTCGGCAGGCTGTAGAAATGGGCTGGTAGGGACCTCATCGAGTCCAGCAGAGGGGAAAGTCCTGTACCTGGGGAGGAGCAATCCTATGCAACGGTATATGCTGGGGGCTGACTGGCTGGAAAGCAGCTCTGCAGAAAAGGATCTGGGGGTCCTGGTGGACACCAAGTCGACCGTAAGCAGCAATGACTTTGTGGCAAAGGCTAATGGTATACTGGGCTGCATTAGGAGTCTTGCTGGCAGGCTGAGGGTGGTGATCCTTCCCCTTTACTTACCACTAGTGAGACCATACCTGGAGTACTGTGTGCAATTCTGGGCTCTCCAGTAAAAGTGTGATGTGGAGTTATTGGAGTGAGTTCAGTGAAGGGCCTCTAAGATGACTAAGGGACTGGAGCGTGTCTTGTATGAGGAAAAGCTGAGAGATCTATGACTCCAGCCTAGAGAAGGCTCGGAGGAATCTCCTCAATGCATATAAATACCTGAGGGGCAGGTGTAAAGAAGACCAAGCCAGACTCTTTTTGGTGGCCCCCAAGTGACAGGACAAGAGGCAATGGGCACAAACTGAAATACTGGAGGTTACATCTGAACATAACGAAACACTTTTTTTACTGCAGGGGTGACTGAGCACTGGCACAGGCTGCTCAGAGGGGCTGTAGAGTCTTCATCCTTAGAGATACTCAAAAGCTGTCTGGACATGGTCCTGGGCAACAGGCTCTAGGTGGCCCTGTTTGAGCAGAGGGGTTGGGTGAGATGACCTTCAGAGGTCCCTTCCAGCCTCAAAGATTCTGTGGTTCTGTCCCCCTAGGAGGTCTTATTGTCATTGGCTCCCCATGCCTGGGATGCAGCTGCTCCCTGCCAGTAGATAATTAACAGGATGTGTTGAATATTCCTAGTATAAAAGTTGGCTGTTACCTTGAGCATACTAAGTAGAAGCAAGGAAGAAACATCTTGGTACCTGGTCTTAGCATAATTACTGCTGGAGTACTGTTCCCACTTTGGCTATGCATGCTTTATGAAGTGTTGAAAAATTAGGGGAAGTTCAGAGTCATGAAAATGACCAGAGTGTGACAAATTGTGCTCTGCCCCAAAAGGATCAGTGCACTTAGTTTATTTATTCTGCAAAAAGCATGGGTTAACTTGAGCATTGTTTGCAACCAGCTATAAAAACACTGAAGCTTGGGGGTAGAGGCTGGGGCAATTTCAGACCAGAATTTGGAAACTCGTCTGGAGATGGGAGGCGAATACTTAATCCAATGGATGGGAGATGTAGCCCAGCTAGTTCAGTTTGGAAATAACATACGGGTTATGTTTCTACTAGAAACTTTCAAATGGAGATTACATTTGTCCTTAGAATTCCCTCTAGTTCAGTTACAGCACCAAAATAAGATGATCAGATCTAACCAGCCCTTCTGGCTAAACTGTCATTGACATTGGGACTTTGCAAATGTATTATTCTGGCATGATTTATCAGTATCCAGCAAAGAATACTCATTCTAGTCACCTGAACATTCCTACAAGACTTCAAACGCAAGCCCTTTCTGCCAAAGCACACGTTTCAGGACTGACCTGTCTGGGACTGTATGTGTCCAAAGTACTCTGCTCTTCAAGTCACATGATAACCTTTGCAATAATTCGTGTCTCTTTACCTGAATGCTGCAACAGCCATGGCTCCTCCTCACAAGGTTTGTGGACCAATGTTTAAAAACCATTTTCATTAAAAATATGGCATGGCAGCTAATGAAGAGAAGGGAACTTCCAAAAAACAGTGTTTCTGTGGCCTGAAATGAGCTTTCACAGAGCTCCTATTGCAGAGCACAAGAGGCTTGAGAAGTACCCAGGAAAGAGCAGTGTTGATCTGGTGAGCTTGCTCTGAAACAGAATGGATGTTTTCCAAGTGCTCCATTACTTATCTAACCATTTTTGAGTGCTGCTATCAACAGGCAGAGCTGAAAGATACTTTTTTTTTAAATCTCAGCAGTGCATCAAAGGTTTTATTTAAATTGCTCTTATAAAAAATTAATGAAGGCATTATCTTGCTGGGCTACAAAATGGCAGGAGTGGATCCCAGTGAGATGAAATCTTCTTAAAATACAGCTGTCAAAACATTTTTGTATTAATATATCCCTGAGTGACTCTGTGCACATGCACTTGCAGTACAGAACTAGACCAGGAGGAGGAGAATTTCATGCAAACCTGCTTATAACATGGAACAAAGCCAGGACTCAAACCAGCAGTATTTAAAAGGGAACAGGCTGCTTATGGTCCTAGATGAATCTGTCTCTGAAGTGAGAGAAAATTATTCCTCCAAAGAAAGAGGTGGCAGTAGGTAACAATCTAGTGGGATGTGACTTGCCATCTGAATTTCTGAGCTTACCAATTCACTGACAACTTCCATCCTTGGATGTCACCTGTGGGTGTGGAGTATCTTTGCCTGTGATGGGTACCACTGACTTTGGTGAGTGACTAGTAGGGAATCCCACCTCCGCCTTATGCCATGAGTAAAGCCCAACTGTACTCATCCCCCTCACCTTCAACTCTGCTGTTAGCTGTGCAGTCAGCTACCACAACAGCTTTTTCATTTCCTTACCTATCACAGCTGCTTTACGGATGGGCTGAGGGGATGCACTTTTCCATGAAGCTCCAGTGGGTGTTGTCCACTTCTGCACTGCTCTCTCTGCGAAGAAAGCATACTGCAGTGCTTGGGCCTGGCCCGAAGTCAGCAGGACGTTAAACAGCTCTCGCTCCTTCCGGACTCCATCTGCAAAGGGCTGTTCTGTGGCGGCTCTGACTGCCTGGAAGCACAGCTCTGGAGCCAGGCACCCGCGGGCCTGTTTCTTCACCTTCACAAGAGCCTCACTGAGAAATGCTTCCATGTTGGGCAGTTTTGGAACTGGCTTCAGGCTGAGCCTGCGGGGTCCCAATGGCTGGCCTGGGGGTAGAAAAAATGGAGTTACAGAACAAAGCATCCATATCTGGAAGACTACAGATTTTCACCCCTTTCTACATAGACTGTGAATGCAGCCTACCTCTTTTCCTCCTAAGCTCACTGCATTAGGGCTTGCATGGCACAGTGATCTGGGTCTAGAACTAAAGTGTCTGACATTTCTATTTAGCTTTCTGTTTGCTCTGACAAGTACAATTTTTCAGGTCCCTTCTCAGATTTCAAAAAAGCAAGATTTCAGTTTCAAAGAAGTAATTCTCTCCTTCCTTTTCTCAGCTACAGAGAGTGCCTTGACTTCTCCAGTTCTCTTAGTCTACAGTCCCAGCTGCCATGTTCATAGGGCTCTTTCTATAAGCTTCAGTACTAAAGTTTTCCTCCGGTATTATTTAGTACTTGGTGCCCAATCAACTTTGCTAGCCAGATGCACTCCAGCCAGGGTCCTGATCCAGGCATTTATAAGAGACTGAGAAATATACCCTGACTTTAATTCTTCCCTGACAGCAGGAGTCCCTCTAGTCACTTTGGGACTAACCAAGAGGACAGCTCATGCAGCATGACTTGGGGAGCAAGTGAATAACAGGGGAGAGTTCATGCTTCTGTGTCAGCAAGGGGTGAATCAAGCAGCCATACAAATACATGAGGCTCATTACAGACAGGTTGCTATGGTGATACCTAGAAAGGATTTTAACTGAGAGAAGTTAGTTACATTTCAGATGCCAGAATCCTCTCTGTCCTTTTTTTCAGAAGTACAAGCCTTGGTGCCTGCTAGGGAGATCTGTGATCTGACCATACTTCAGGCTGTTCCTATGCTCTTAATGGCAGCTTGCCTCAGTAAAGACCATGGATGAACAAGATCAGAAATTTAGAATGTATCCCCTTAGTATTTCAACAATATTCCACATCCAGATCATTAACTAACTGCGTAGCAATGTTACTGCACTGACTGCTGCAGTGATGTTCCCAGGACTTCCACCGAAGCAGGATGATGGGTGGGCCTCCTCTAATGAGAACCTTATGCTGAGAAGCCCTCTGGTATACAGTCTCATTACCATAGCTTCTCCTATATGAGCACACTCCCTTCACGGGTGGTGTATTGCACCCAGGTCCCCTTTTTCTTCCTGCTGTCTGAGTTAGGAAAGTGCCAGTGCATCAGCAGAAGACTCAGGAGCAGGATGCTGAAGAGCAGGAACAATGGCAGCACTGCAATCATGGTTGCCCAAAGAACATGTCCTGACTCCAGCTCTTCCTCCAAGACCAAGCAATGTTTAAGAGGAAATAGAACCATGAGTTTCCAGGATGAGTTAAGATAATGATTTCCTGAAACAATGGTCTTTAGAGCTTAGACTTTTTAATTAAGCCTTTTAGAGAACACAAAAAGATGAATACTCACTGTGTAAGTAGCTTCCCTTGTAATGAGTGTTCATAAAAATGTTTTCACATTGACCGTGAACATACTTTGTATCTGCCAGTACTGCAGGACTTAGGATAATGTCCTTTTATTTTGGAATCCTGTGTTTCTCCCGTAAATGTATGCTTTTAACCCAGATATGCTCTTTATCCACAGTCCTTTATTTAGGATTTAAATAGTAGGTTTCATTTCAACACAAGAGGAAACCTCAGGTTTGTCCCAGAAAGCAGATCTGATGGCCGGAAGGCTGCTTAAGACTAGGCAGATCAAGAGACTTCATATGACATTTCTGATGTGTAAAGGACTAGTAAAAAAGGAATACTACTGGGAGCCTTTAAGCTTGGTCTTCAGATAGCAAATAGTACTTGTAAGCACAAATACTGATGGGGGACATGAGGCTCAGTGAAAAAGAAAAGGAACTCTCCTCAGGGTCCTGTAATAACTCTTATTTAGCTGTAAGCTAAATAGTTTTGCTAAGTGTTTCTACAGCATCTCCATGCAGTGTCTTTGCTTCTGCAATGCTAATAAGAATCAAGGGCATATTTATGAACAGGAAAAAAATGATCTGAATCCAAACCTAGGAAGAAGAGATCAGTGTGGGATTTTGCAGGAATATGATGAACAGTACCAGACATCAGTGCTGCAGGAGAAAGTGTCATCCATGCCATGCAGCTAACACAGATACCTGCTTTGTTTTACTAGGGTCTGTAGTCCAGGTGGCACAAAGGACAGATCAAATTCATAAAATTTCTATTGGCAAAAGAAACATGTAAGCATGAAGTATCAAATATTGTGCTATATAAAGCAAAAAAAAAAGCATCACAGAGTTGTAAACCCTTGGGATATTACAAGACTCCACATGAATTTCTGAGAAACAAAGCTGAAATGGGACCCCTGCTCCTCAGGCTTGCAGTGGTCTCAGGCCTGCCAGAGACAAGTCCAGTTTATGTCAGATCTCTCACAAACTCTCATTGTGTCAAAGGGGCACTTTGCTAGACCTTCTGTCTAAAGAAGGTGGCAGCCAGAATCACGAGCCCTGGAGAGAGAGATTAAGATCTCTTTATTGAACATTTTCCCAGAGATGATGCACTAAAGGCTCTTGCAACAGTAGCTGAAAGCTTGTCTCCATTTAAAGCGTGCAATTACCTAACAGCAGTATCTGTTACTCCTTTGGGTTTTATGAGACTCAGAAGAAACGCATGCTTCCTCCACAGTTCCTCCTAGTGGTTTACAGTCAGAAACTCATAATCTTCTTTCCATGCAGAGTCTTATACCTGTGGGGCCTGAGCTAGTCTAAATTGAACTGATTTTCCTTGGCTCCTTGGTGCAAGCCATTGATGCTTTTGTGCTCTGAGAAGATAAAGCAGATGTGGAAGGAAAGCAAGGGATGATTATAGATGAAGGGAGAGCTTCAAAGAAGGGTGCTATGCAGAAGACCAGCAGACTTTTTTTCCTCCAGCCAAGGAAGACTACAGCAGGCCAGCAAGAAGTGGGCAGTATAAACTGCAAGCTACTGTCTGCCACAAGCAATTACAGCAATTTTTCAATTTTGTGATGCCATCAGGTGGACAAATTATGAAATGCAGCTTTGAACGAGTGCAGTGATTATCAAGCATATTTAATGAAAGAACATTTTCATTGTCTCCAAGGATCTAGCTCCTGTCTTTTCCTTTTAAAAAAATGCCTTCAAAAGTAAAGATAATTTATTTTGCCTAAAGAAGGCCAGGAACACATGCTTGCTTTCTATCTGCAATATATAATTACTGTTCTCAAT